AAAAAGAAAGAAAAGAAAGTTTAAAAGAAAAAAGGTCAGGCATGGTGGAACATGTTTGTGTTTTTTATTTGTGTGTGTGTGTTTTTTGTTTTTGTTTTGAAACTCAGGTCCTTGCACTTGTGAGGCAGGCAGCAAAAATCATTGTGGTTTTACTAGGAAGTGTTTTTTTATTTTGTTTTTTCTGGTACCAGGGATAGAACTCGGGTCCTTACACTTTTGAAGCAGGCACCAGAACCACTGAACTTAATCCCCAGCCCTTTAAAATATGTTTGCAATCCCAGTACATTGGCAGGCTGAGGTAGGAAGACTACAAGTTTGAGCCCAACCTACCAACTTAGCAAGACTATCTCTAAATAGAAAATAAAAAAAGAACTTGGGAACCAGGGATTTAGCTCAGTGGTTCTGCTGCCTGCCTCCCAAATGCAAGGTCCCCAGTTTGATCCCCAGTACAAAAAAAAAAAAAAAAAAAAAAAAAAAAAAAAAGAACTAGGGGCATCACAGTTCTGAAGTATCCTTGATACTGGGGAAAAGAGAGAGAGAGAGAAGGAAAAGCTCAGCTAGCCAGCCTGGTTTTGTTTGTTTGTTTGTTGTTGTTTTAATGACAGGGGTCTCACTATGTAGTCTAGGCTGTCTTTGACCTTGTGGTGGTCTCCTGCTTCAGCCTCCCAACTGCCATGATTATAGACCTATGTCCCTGAGCCCGGCTTGTTTCCTTTGCAGACATCACACCAGTTCTCAGCTGGGTGTGGTGGCTGGCACATACCTGTAATTCCAGAACTGAGGAGGCTAGGGCAAGAGGATTGCAGTGAGTTTCAGGCCAGCCTGAGCTACACAGTGAGAATATTTATATATAAATATATCTATATATAGCTATCTCCAGGTATGGTGGTTCATACCTATAATCCCAGGATCACTGTGAGTTTAAGGACAACCTAAGTTACATAGTGAGTTCAAGACCAGCCTGAGCTACACTGTGAAACCCTGTCTGAAAAAAAATAAAAGAAAAGTCATAAATTTGAGCTAGGTATGTAGCTCAGTGGTACAGTGCTTGCCTAATATGCAAATTTGATCTTCAGTATTGGGGGGTGATATTCAAAAAGTGTATTCAGCCTGGCATGCCTTGCAAAACAGTAAATTTGAGCTGGGCATGATGGCACATGCCTTTAATCCCAGCATTTGGGAGGCTGAAGCAGGAGTATTGCCATGAATTTGAGACCAGTTTGGGCTGCATAATAAATTTCAGGCCAGTCAGAACAACATAGTGAGATTCTGTCTCAAAAAACAAAACAAAGTGGGAATGTGCACTTATTTATTTATTTTTCAGCACTGGGAATTAAATTCAGGACCTTGCGATTGCTGGGCAGCACCACTGGGGTACATCCCCAGCCAAAACAAAACAAAGTAAGCTTAAGCAAAACCAAAACAGACTGTTTAAGACCATGAGGATAAGGAAGTTCACAGGTTCCTTTTCCACTTTTTTATTTTTTGTGTGTATATGTAGTACTAGGGATTGAACCCAAGGTATTTGCACTGAGCTATATCACCAACTCCTTTTTTGTGGGGTACTGGGTCTCAAAATCAGGACCTTGCACTTGACAGACAGGCAGTGGAAACACTGAGTTAAATCCCTGGCCCTCTTTTTTTTTTTTTTTTTTTTTTTTTTTTTTTTTTTTGCTGCATATTGAGACAATGTCTTGCTAAGTTGCCCAGACTGGATTTGAACTTGAAATCCTCCTGCTTCAACCTCCCAGAGTGCTGCAATTAGAGGCACATGTCACCATGCCAGAGTTATTTATTTATTTACTTATTTCTGTGCTGCTAGGGATCTAGCTCAGGGTGTTGCATATGCTAGGGAAGCTCTTTACCAATGAGCTACATTTCCAGACCTCATTGTCCTGTTTTATTCTATTTTATTATGTAAGTATCATAATTGCAGAAAACTTGGAATGTACACATAATAAAGGGGATTGGGATATAGTTCAGTGGTAGAATATGTGCTTAGCATCTATATAGCCCTAGGTTCAAAACCAGAAAATACCCTCAATTAAAAAACAATAGATCCCCTAGCCTTACATATGTAATTACTATTAACCCACTGATATT